TGCATTTCATTACTGAAATAGTGTATGGAAATATCGTAGTAGACTATTGTTCTTTAACATAAACTATTATTTTGTCAAAATATTTAATGATATTGTTTATGAAAATATTGTAGTAGGCTATTATTGACTGTCAGTTTGCCAAAATACTACGAATTTTATCCTTACTATCAAAATACTGTACTCGCCCCAATTATTGCAGCAATAATAATGTCTCAGTTGCACATGCTCCGAGGGGTGCTTAGCCATGCTTGCCAATCACTAAAAATAATCCGTGCACTCAATACCGGTATAGTGGGTGCATTAATTAAATCAAGTGTGATAGTTTTATTCCATACTATAATACCTTTTTTGTAATGGCAAAATGCATTAACCTAATATAGTATTAGTTATATCTTTGTGAGGGAAGTATGATGTTATGAATGAGCAATAAGGGTAATACCCTGTTAGTCCATCCTTGTAAAGTCTCATTCAATTATAGCTATTTTAGTCTTGCATAGCCAGACAGTCCACTCTTTTTTTATTTAATTGTAAAGCCGTCCAAAAGTCAAAAGGTGGGAGAGTCTTGCTACATGAGACTATAATTATTTATGGTAATAATAGCAGCATGCATGTCAGGAATGTCAGATAAAGTTGCTTCACAACAGGAGTAAGTGCACAGTTTACTGCTTATACCTCATTTAAGTTATCTATTAATACTACATCAAGCTATTTCCAATTGCATACTCTGGGCAGTGCATGCATGGGCACTAGCTTGGTTTTATTCAACTGCTCCCTGTCAGCAATCTTGATTGTCAAATTATGTCATGTGTCACTTTATTTTAGGGCCAAGCATGGATTACTAGTGTCAGCAGATGCTTGATGCAGTCTATTGTTAACAGTGCTCTCTATAATGATGCAAGTACTACTTGTGACCAGTTGAAGACATTTGCATTTCAGAGTCATTCTAATTGTCACACTAGCCATGGTTTCTGTACAGATATATTTCTATCAAATCAATGTCAGAACCTTGTTTGTATTGGAAATGAAGTATTTACTGATATAGAGACTATTGGAGCAAGCAAGCAATAGACCAGGTGACGGAGTATTAGCTTGAGTCTATTATTATTTTTTTTTTATAGATTATAAAGACAACTGCTTCATGCCTTCCCAAATTTCTACATTCCTTCTTGATGCACAGAGTTGCAATTTGAATAGTCCCGACCATGCTCTTGTATCTGCTATACGCAATTATTTAAGTAGATCTATCTATTATAGTATTGTGTAAATATATTTTGGTACTCTTGTATACAGATTGCAATTCAAGGGCTTTTGATTTTATCATCATATTGGATGCATCTGGAAGTGTTGGGTCTTCTAACTTTCAGACAATGAAGAACTTTGTTGCAAGCATGCTGTATAGCTTTATCAATGGACGAAATGGCACTCATGTTGGAGTCATTCGTTACTCAGGCAGTCCATCAATTGTTATCTCACTGGGTTCCTTCAATACTTATTCACAATTAGCTACTGCTGTTAGAGGTATATCATACACTGGAGGAAGCACAAACACTGCTGCAGCATTGAACTTACTAACTACAGCATTTGCTACTGCTCGTGTTAGTGAAGGCATCCCTCGTGTAGCTGCTGTTTTTACTGATGGACATTCCAATAGTTATTCAGCAACAGTACAAGCTGCTCAAGCTATTCATGATGCTGGAATTCATGTCTATTCCTTTGGTATCGGAAGTGGTATCAGTAATGCTGAATTAGTTGCCATTGCTTCAAATGGTCAGCAAGATGTTTTACTATCAGTGGTTTTTCATCTAATACATTTCAAGCTGTACTGAAACAATTACAAGTGTCAACATGTTCCAGTAAGTCATTTTTAATAATGTAGATATTAAAAATAATATAATTATACATATATATAATAGCCCTAACAGTATCTGAGACTGGAAAGGAGATTGCTGCAACCCTTCTAAAAGGATCATCTTGTTTGTTACAGTATGAGTTTCCATCAATGGGAATGACACTAAAAGTAAACATTACATGGGAAATTTGGTAGTCCATGGATCATTTAGTGTACAAAACCCAAATAATTTAACACAAGATTTCTCTGTCATGAGCAATGGCAATGACATCGATCATTTCATTAGCCCAGAATTAATGAGGCAGTCAACTGATAATGGGAATGGTGGTGGAAGTCGTAAGAGGAGGCAAACATCACTACCTACTAATGCTACTGATGCTAATGTGTACTTGTCTATTGTTGGATTGAATGATAACAATACATTTGTATTGAATAGAGCTGTTGCACAGAAGTAATCAACAGGAGGGTGTGGCTAAAATCGAGCTAAATTGTCTGCCATGTTGGGTGGCAAGAAGGCCAAGAATGAATGGGGGAATGGAGAAAAAATTTTAAATAAATTCTGCAGTTGACATTCCAGACTAATGCAAGGTAGGAGATGAAGATATTGAGTAAAGAAATCTCTAATATTCTGCAGTGAAGTATGATATCTCTTTGATGAAAAATAGCAGTTTGTTTCCATTCCTCCATTCGTTGTGTGTACATTCTTGCCACTCAAGATGGCCGACAGGAAGCTCCGCCTACCCCGTTGATTACATCTGTGCAACAGCTCTATACTACTTTTGGTGATACTACCGAGAGCTTTCCATCATCTGGTAAGAAAGTTGGTGTAACTGATATTTGATTTCATACATCTTTTTTATTAGGTACCAGTGTTCTGGGCTCAATGGTACTTATGATGGTTGCTTTGCTTTGTTTCTTCCTCTTTATATGGATATGAAATGCTTGCCTTTGACTTTGTGTGTGTGCATGTGTGTGCTTTAATATGACTAGGTGTATAGACTTCTTTCGTTGATTGTTGGAAATAAATAAACTAATGATATTTTCCTTTCTCTTTTTATCAATTTTTTAGTCGGCACAATAATTTTGCTTTTTAAGTTTTTGATTGCTTTTCAAGAATTTTCTGACTGCATGATGTCAAGTAGTGGTTTCATTTGCTGTACAGTTCAAGTCAAATGATAGTGGAATGTGATTTTGCACTTGAACTGAAATATGATACCATAGATCCTATATCACCTGTTAGTTAGTATAGATATCACAAAGATTATTATACTTAAAATAAATTATAGTACCGGTACTATCATTATAACACCAATATCCTAGCTGCTTGCATACCATGCTGGCATTACTATTATCCCAAAAGTGACTGATGTTAAGTGAATAAAATTTCTTTTCTAATAGTGAGAGCATACCATACTGGCATTATTATTATCTTAAAAGTCACTGATGTTAAGTGAATAAAATTTCTTTTCTCAGTGATAGTGAGTGTATGTTAACTATGTTTGTTCAACCTTATTACTAAGACATAAGTAGACAAAGCTAACAATGAATGTAGCCAGATAGATACGAAACCAACACTAAAAATAATTGTAATTGCCCCCATCATGCTATTTTTGTCATGCTATTAATCAACAAAAGCTATAGGTTGCAGTAGGCGTGGCCAATCATTACGTCCGCCATGTTGGAGTACAAGTGCAATAAT